GACGGCGAAAAAATGCCTCTCAGGGGGCGCAACTAGTGGAGATGCTCTTAGCATATTCCTCAAAGCATCTCAAAATGTGGCATCAGAGGAACGATCGAATCGGCTATTTCTTCTCATGCAAGCAAGAAAAATTTCTTGACACCTTGAATGGCTCTCTCACACCACCTGCAGCACATAGCCACTACCAAACACTGTGAATGTGGCTTTTTTTTGCGAATGTGAATCTACCAGCCCCAACCTAGTTTTCTACAAACCCTTACTTTTTTCTACTGTTTCATTATGACATTGACTCCACCAGGCCGAGGAGGGACAAGCTGAGGGGGCACGCGGAATCTCATGCAAATGACAACCCGAAGCAAAGGCACCCGAAGATACACCTATTGGACCAACGTGGTTCGTCTTGAGCACCATCAACCAACGTGTATGCTAAGAGGGTGTTTGGTTCGAAGGCGAAGTTGGATTGGTTGGTGATATCCCCAACCACCTGGCTAGGGATAACCACATTCGATTGTTTGGTTGAATAGGATTGGTTGTGTTGGATAGCCATTTTTTGTTATTTTTAGTCAAATATTCGTTAAATTGGGTTATCCCCAGCCATCACATCCTTCCTTCTAAACACATGGCATCGTCTATCCCACCGGGGATAGCCTGTGAACCAAATGCCACCTTGGTGCACGTGGAGGGGCTGAGAGAGAGAGAGAGAGAGAGAGAGAGAGAGAGAGATAATATTAATATATATCTATTTGAAGCTGCTATATGTATATGAATGATGCACAAGTACTGCCGCATCGGAGAAGTAGCCGCCGATCTACCTTATGAATGAATTTATAAATGTTTAGATTTCCATGATTATTTTTTATGCAGAGTTGTGGAATATCAACCATTTATTACACATAATTCAATAATTTAGGAGAAGCATCGGCTGGTTGTCATGGGATATTTTCTTTGAAAGCATCAACATTTTATTTCTCAGTCACATGCATCGGCAGGTTGTCATAGGATATTATATTATTCAGACTGAATCATACAATGGGCTTTTTTTTAGAACAATCATACAATGGGCTTGGGACGTGACAAGAAGCCAGCTCACTAAATCAAAATCAAAGGAGGCAGCTACATCCCACATAGCAATACTGGGTAAAGATAGCAAAATCACTATCAGGAGTACTTCTTCCAAATATCACTCTCATCTCCTCAGGTTGTGATAAGTGGCACGCTGCATGTGCGCCACTTGTCGCAACCTGGGAGTTTTCCTTTTTTTCGTAGATTCATTTATTTAAAATGTTTTATCTTTTAAATCATGCGTCCAAATCTCAAGCCGTTTTCATCGTTGAATTCCTCGCGTCGAGATCTTTAAAACTAGATCCCACGTTGATAGATTTTGACAAACTTTTTTCATGAAAAAACGGACAGAAAAACCAAACCGGAAGCACGTTTCCCCCCTTTTCGGAATCCGTTTCAGTGAGGCATGGCCCTGACTATCGCAGAAGCAAATCCGTGCCTCTTGTGGAAGCAAAATCATGCCTCTCACGGATTCAAGCTGTCGATAACAACATCAAATAAGAAAGGCCACCGAGTGTCAAAGTGGTCATTCTATTTCTCTTCCTTGTGCCCAAGGATATATAGTCCAATCTAATAATCATTGGATGTGGGTTATTCTTAGCTAGGTAAACCAATTACCAAAGGAAAATGGAAATATCCTCATCTTGGGCACCCCCATAATCTGCGACCAAGCTCCATATAAAATTATCAACTCTATTTCGAAGGTGAAATTTGATGTGAAATTTGAGCGTTGCTAATGCGCGGGCGCCCGTGCGAATGCTCAATTTTCGACAGGGCGTTAGTGTGGGCCTTGATTTGGGAAGTGTTCAGCAGGATTAGGGAAAGGCTTAAGGGGTAATTAGTGTGGGCCCCGTGCCCCCCTGAAAATCAGGGGGGAGATTATATATATATGAAGATTAATGGATGGGCTTTGCACGTCCTGGCATGTCTTTGCGATCTTGTGGTGGACCCAGCGCGATACGAGGAGGCCGTCGGAAGAGGCTGCGCTTCGATAGATTCGATCGCTCCAACGAGCGAACGCGAAGGAGCGTTTCCGGTGAAATTCACAAGTCGAAAAGGCTAACAAGTCTATTGTAATGGTATGTATCCCAAGTAGGATTTCACGTGTTGGTAGACTATGCCATGTGATACGTCTCCAACGTATCTATAATTTTGATTGTTTCATGCTATATTATATTCTGTTTTAGAAGTTTAATGGGCTTTATTATACATTTTTATATTATTTTTGGGACTAACCTATTAACCGAAGGCCCATCCTAAATTGTTGTTTTTTGCCTATTTCAGTGTTTCGCAGAAAAGGAATATCAAACAGAGTCCAAACGGAAAGAAACCTTCGGGAGCGTGATTTTGGAACAAACGTGATCCAGGGAACTTGGAGTTGACGTCAAGCAACCAACGAGGCGGCCACGAGGCAGGGGCGCGCCTACCCCCCAGGCGCGCCCTCCACCCTCGTGGCTCCACCGACCTACTTCTTCCTCCTATATATACCTACGTACCCCCAAACCATCAGAAGCGATCACGAAAACCTAATTCCACCGCCGCAACCTTCTGTACCTGTGAGATCCCATCTTGGGGCCTTTTCCGGCGTCCTGCCGGTGGGGGCATTGATCACGGAGGGCTTCTACATCAACACCATAGCCTCTCCGATGATGTGTGCATAGTTTACCTCAGACCTTCGGGTCCATAGTTATTAGCTAGATGTCTTCTTCTCTCTCTTTGGATCTCAATACAAAGTTCTCCTCGATTTCCTTGGAGATCTATTCGATGTAATCTTCTTTTGCGGTGTGTTTGTCGAGATCCGATGAATTGTGGGTTTATGATCTAGATTATCTATGAACAATATTTGAATCTTCTCTGAATTCTTTTATGTGTGATTGGTTATCTTTGCAAGTCTCTTTGAATTATTAGTTTGGTTTGGCCTACTAGATTGATCTTTCTTGCAATGAGAGAAGTGCTTAGCTTTGGGTTCAATCTTGCGGTGCTCGATCCCAGTGATAGTAGGGGCAACGACACGTATTGTATTGTTGCCATCGAGGATAAAAAAAGGGGTTTATATCATATTGCATGAGTTTATCCCTCTACATCATGTCATATTGCTTAAAACGTTACTCCGTTCTTACGAACTTAATACTCTAGATGCATGCTAGATAGCGGTCGATGTATGGAGTAATAGTAGTAGATGCAGGCAGGAGTCGGTCTACTTGTCACGGACGTGATGCCTATATAAATGATCATACCTAGATATTCTCATAACTATGCTCAATTCTATCAATTGCTCGACAGTAATTCATTTACCCATCGTAATACTTACGCTATCTTGAGAGAACACTAGTAGAAAACAGGGCTATGGTCCAGGCCGGCTCAGCCCATTAGTCCCGGTTCAGTCTAGAACCGGGACCAATGTGGGCATTGGTCCCGGTTCGTGAGCCCGGGGGGCCGGCCGTGCCACGTGGGCCATTGGTCCCGGTTCGTCTGGACCTTTTGGTCCCGGTTGGTGGGACGAACCGGGACCAATGGGCCTCGCTCCTGGCCCACCACCATTGGTCCCGGTTGGTGGCTTGAACCGGGACCAAAGGCTTCCCTTTAGTCCCGGTTCATGTCATCAACTGGGACCAATGAGGTGCCTATATATACCCCCTCGCGCAAGAGCAGAGCACAGTGCTCTGTTTTTTTTGGCCGAGGGGAAGAGGGCTTTGTGGTGCTCTAGCTCACCTCCTATGCACATGAGGTGTTCGATGGAATGCCCGAGCCACACTACTTAAGCTTTCTCCTCTCGAAGCTCGACCTCCAAGCTCCATTTTCCTCGAGATTTGTCTAGATTTAGCGGTCCGTCACGCCCCGTCCCCGTCTTTACCGCCGTCGATCACCCGCGCCGATCTCATCACCGACACCACCGTGGTGAGCCTCTTGTTCTTATCTTCTTTCTGAAAGGAAAAATATTCTTACTTGTATGTTTAGATAGATACTTGTATCATTTTCTTACATTTATTATTGCATCTTATATAGTGCGATGATTTTGGTATCCGCCCCCGTCGGCCCTCGTCCTGTCTATGATTCGGATTTGGTATGTATATTATCTTTATAACTATTGGTTCATTTATTGTTTATGAAAATTATGCCGACCAATGTGACATAGATTTTATTTATCTAGGATGTATGTGAATCGGAAATGCCAACCAACCCTATTGTCGAGAGGTTAAATTTAGTTGAAGAAGAAAACAATTTGTTGAAGGAAAAAATAAAAAAATTGAGGAGGAGAAGATGATATTGGAGTTGCATGTTGCGGATGTCGTCGATGATTAGAAGATCAAGATGGATGCAATGCGCTTGAAGATTAGAAAGATTAGAAAATATGCCATTCATACCGAGGCTTGGTATCATTATGCCGTTGGATCAATTGTTACCTCGGTTGCGATTATGATCGCATTTGTTTTCGCATTGAAATGTTTTACATAGTTTCAATGTATGGTTTAATTAATTAGATGCTCTGGAGAGCTATATGTTGTTAGATGAGAACTATGTATGCACTTTGGTTTTA